GTGCGAACACTCCTAGCTCTTATTTAAACCATTAGCATCAGAAAGTTGTAAAAATGTGCTATTGGCCCAAGTCAATGGATGATCGGGTGCTTTTTGTGAGTCAATGTTTTGAATCATGCACCAATCAGCATCTTTCATAGTAATGAATGGGGCCTCGTCTACTCTCTGTTTCCAGTTGACTTTATACGTCAATGGAAAGCACCAGGAAAAAAGTTCAAACCATAAGTNAAAAAAATATATATATATATCGTTTATACCATTGCTTTTTTTATATTGACTTCTTGAATGTTCATATCGAGATATCGATACGATAACGATATATCGTTCAGCCCTAATTTACACCTCTCTGACTTTTCTCTCTTCAGTTATTTGTCATTGTACATAGGGAATAATACTTAAATTATATATTTTAAAGTAGAAAACATTTAAATTAACCTTAAACAGAAGCCAAAAATACAGCTCATATCTCAAAAAGACAAGCAAGTATCACCCCAAAATGTTTTATAGATAAAAGTCCCTTAAGTCATTCCCAACCACATCTTGGCGTCTGTAACTTGTCACTCAAAGCATTTTTAGACGACTAAAGACACTAGGGATGTAACGATATACCGAATATCGCGGTATCGCGGTAAATAAACTTCCCAATACCGTCGTGAGACTGACAAAAAAATNTTCCATATGTTGTATTTACACTAGGGCTGAACGATATGGACAAAATGTCATCATATCGTATCGTATCGATATCGAGATATCTGGCATGAATATCGAGATATGACATTTTGTCCATATCGTTCAGCCCTAGTGTAAATACAACATATGGAAGAAAAACATCTTAAATACTGTGTTAAAGTTGGGCAGGGCGATATAGCTAATTAAAAATGTCATGATAAAATCTTTCTGTCCACAAAAATTCACAATTCTTTATGTCAAATCTTAAAAATTACCAGAAAAAAAAAATCTAGATGTGAGATGTTTAAGATATGCCAGATCTGTTGTACCAATAATTAAAAAAGTGAACTCCCCTCTCCGTATTGGTCTGACCTTTGCTGAAGTTGGCGCTGGCCCCTCTGTCCAGGAGCAGTTCTGTGAGCTCGTAGTTAACCACACTGACCGCACACATGAGAGGCGTCCAATCAAAGCCGAGCCTGGTCTCCACGTCCATGCCTGTCCACAGCAAACGGATTAAGAGCGGCAATGAAATGATTATATAAATAACACAAGATGTCCCTAATGACCCCCAGCACACAAAGATGCAAACACAAAACAAGATCCTGTTGTTTTGTTCAAACTTCCTCTTTTGAATTCTTGTTTTTCCCCCATCTCGAATGATTTCAGAAAATCACTTAAACAATGTTTTCTACATTCTCACTGTGACTAGGAAGTCTGTCCCCACCACCAATTCAACCATTTAGACATCCTTATACACAAACAAACTGTATATAATACAACAATTTCATTTTAAGACAACAGGACTCCCGTGCAAGAATATTTTCTTATTTTTATCTACCAGTGTTTCAAACGTGTAGTTAATTGATCGTCTCAGCCAAAAAGATAATGTCTAAAGAACTCAGTATATGGGCAAGCTAAGACACTGACAACAAAGTTAATACAATATTATTTTTTAACAAAAGTTGGGCATGTTCGGAGAGTACTTGCCATCGTCCAACAGCTGTTTGACAGCCCCAATGTCTCCTTTACTGATGGCTTGTTTCAACAGCGACACATTATCTTGTGCATGTGGCACAACAGCATCCTGATCCTGAGACAAAAGGGAAGGATTAGGATGGATTTACACTTTTTTTTACAAATATATATATATATTTCCTGCCATTATGTGTGGATGGCATTGACAAGTGTCCATATAGGTCAGGGGTGAAGAGAATAATTAGCGATACAGGGAGAGAAGCGGAGAGGAGAGTGAACAGGCGTGTTAGCGGCAGACAGGGAGAGACAAATAATTACACATGGCGCTCTCCAAGAAGAGGAAAGTGGACAGTGAGAACAGAGCTTTTAACCCTGAGTGGACTCATTCATGTTCATCCTGCCCACTGGGAGCACAGAACCAGTGTGTCNCACTGTACAAACCCTATGCAAAGTTGTATACCGCTACTTGACGTAAAGATTGTTAGACCTAAAAGCCATTTCTCTTCAAGGTCCTCGACCGGAGGTGTTTGAACCCGGCACATTGCATCCGTTTCTTGATTGGCGCTCCCCCCGGATGGATGTAAGTTGTCACATGCGTCTCGCTGATTAAACTCATATCGAGGCGTCTCTTGGCCATTTTTTCTTTTTGGAAAGGTGACTTGATGAGTGGAAATGACTGGCTTTTTATCTGCACGGATTTCTTTTTTACCTAACTCCACCCCCTCGGTCTTCTGACATCACATAATTGGGGCGGACCCTTCTGTCACTTTTATGCATACTAATGTGATGGAAGCGGCATTTTGTTTTATTAGACTTAGGGGCGGGCCCACCTGTCACTTTTTATGCGTAGTAATGTGATTGAAACATTTTTTATTATACACCATAAGGCGCAACAGTGGGGGCTTTTCACACCTGTGAATACACATCACCCCCCTCCTATCGACGGATCTCACACCTACCTGGGATATCACACCTACTTGGGATCTCACACCTTGAACAAAGAGGAGGCGGGACTTAGCTAATTTGCATAATTGGGGGAGGTGTGACCTGTCACTTTTTTATGCATACTAATGTGATGGAAACAGTATCATTATAACTACTCATGCAGGTCACCAAACTCTCACGAGATGATCCTGACTGCACCACGGGACTTCAGGATATATTTTGAGACTTTTCTTTGTTCTTTGGGTTAGCGATGATAAACCAGCAGTGGTGTAATTTAACTACATTTACTTAAGTACTGTATTAAGTAAAAAATGGAGGTAACTGTACTTTACTTGAGTATTTTCATTTATGCTTTTACTCCATATTACATGTTGTACCTTACTCCACTACATTTATTTTACATATTTAGTTACTAGTTATTTGGCAGATTTAGGTTAATACAAAGTATACATATATTATCATAATTTATTACAGTTTAAGCTATACAGTAGTCCATAACATAATTCACATAAACCCCACCTTGACCAAGTGCAACATTGAAGTGATGAACACATTAATCAGAATCAGAAACGGGTTTGTTTCCAGGTAGGTTCACACATACGAGGAATTTGACTTAATGTCATGGTGCATACATAAAATATAAACCAAAACTCTAAAACAAAAAATCTTTAAGGACACTGTAATAAAATATAGTTAGATAGCAATAAAATAGCAGTAATTTACAGCTAAATAGAATGCAGTGAATTATAGCATATAAAATATGAAATGTAAAATAAGAAATATGTGCAGTAAGCACCTGAACATTGTGTGCATTAATGTAATGCATATACACCAATAATTTAAAAATAAAAAACCTTTTAAATATAATTTGAGTTTAAATGTGCCACCATTATGCATTACTATGAGTTACTTTACTTTTGGTACCTAAAGTACATTTTGATATTAATACCTACTTTACACTGTGGTACTGTTACTTTTGCTTTAGTAAATAATCTGAGTACTTCTTTAACCTCTGTAGAACAGTGTATACAGAGATACATAGCCTAACATTACTGCTGCTCCTCTTTAAGGTGTCCCTCCACCAAAAACTGTTAGGAAAGACCCCCTATTCATCAACCCCTTACCCAAAAAACACACCAAGGTACCTTCCATCCAACAAGTCCTTACCGCAGAGCAGCTGCATCCAGGCGCACGTCTTGTACACAGAGGCGGTGTTGCAGAAGAAGAAGAGGGCGAAGCAACCGATGCAGCCGAGGATGAGCACCATGGACAGCAGCACGAACACCGAGGCCGCCTTGAAGGCTCCGGACGGGATGGAGCTGAAGTCGGAGATGCTGCCCTGGCACAGGAGCTCCCGGTCGGAGTTCCCGATGCCCACGCAGTAGTGGAACAAGCCGAAGTGTCCGGCCTGGGGGGTGTTGATGCTGTCTCCGATCCAGTAAGGCTGGAAGAGCACCACCACACTGATGATGGCCAGGCAGATGGTGAATATGGCCCACAGGACCCCGATGGCGCTGGAGTTGCGCATGTAGTTGTCATGGTAGATTTTGGAGGCTTCTTGCGAAGGCAGCATTTTTCTCTCTCACCCCCGGATCCCCCCTGCACAGCAACCTGTCCCTTATCCTCTCGTCTATCCTCCTCTATCGTCAGGAAAGGATGTCATACTAAGAAAATAATATATATAAAAAGGATCAACAAAGTCCCGTGATTTGTCCCCCCTCTCCCCCTGTAGCTCAAGACCTGGATCATGCGTTTTTAACAGTAGTCTCACATCCAAATGCTCCCACCTCCCCCTCTGTCCTCCCATAAGATCAGTCAAGCATTCTGTGGCGAAGCGTGATCCGCTCAGCGCGTAAAGATCCCGCGGAGCTCCCGGAGCCGGATCCAGCGGCCGGTGGACAGCAGCAGCGTGCCTCTCTTCAACTCCGCCGCTCGGTGTCCGCTCTGACCTGCATAAAGAAACATTCAGAGGTCCACTCTTCCGGAGATGATGAGGAATCCTTCGCTAATTAAAATCCAACAGAAATGCACACAGACACTGATTCAGCCTGTGACATGCTTCCCTCAGCAGTTCAACTTAAAAAACAAACAAACACCACATTATGTTCAACGGAATTCCGTCTACGGATGAAAAATAAATACAAAATATAAATCAGTCCTCCAACAGAGCACCACCACAGCCCTCTCTCTCTCTCTGCTGTGAGGCTGCAGCTGGACCCCGTCTCAATCCCTCCGAGAATGAGATGCATTTTGGGTAACGTAGCACAAAGTTTTGCAATTAGACAAAATAAAATATATACTGCTGCATGGAATTTGACTCTTTTCTCAATAGTTCATAAAAGGAAAAAGTTCGGTTTATTTCATTTATTTTAAGTGATTTCCCCAATAGTTTAAAGAGTATAGGCATATTGTTTATTTAAAACGTATTTATGATATATCATTTTATACAATGATATATATAATAAATACAATAAAAAACAGATAGGCCTACTAGCCTATTTATTTATAATAATGCAAACTGAAAGATCCCCTTTTATTAAAAACTACATTATTGCCCCTTTTCCACCAAACCGGTTCCAGGGCCAGTTCCGGGTTAAAGCCTGATTTAGTTCTGGTTCTTCGGCCCAATCACAAACCACTCCCTCGACCCTACCCCTCCGTGACGGGGTGAACTCCGTCTGTAGCCACACTTGCAGCTCAACGAGGCTCCCTCCTGTCAGATGGAGGGAGTAAATACAGCAGCAAGCTTTGGTTTTGTTTCATTTTTTGTTCAAGTTACAAAAAAAGTATAACCATAAGCATACAAGTACCAATAGCCGGTACATGAATTTACTAAAATACTAATAATTCTCATATGGCGTAAAAACCAAAGTATACCCATCGGAGAATAAGAGGGGGGAGTTTTACGGTGGTCGAACTATGTAACATTGCCAGGTTGTAAATGTTTTTATAATGGCTTCTCGTACGGCGCTGGCGGGTATATCCCGTAAACTCCGGGCCGGGGTGTCAAGGGCTTTATCTAACGGTTAAAAAAAATTTATCATATGGTAGAGGTATAGAAAAGAAACACCCATCATCTAAATTTACGATCTCCGTAGTTGAAACACGTCGTTGCGATACTGCTTATATTTAGCGGTCGTTTTACCGTGTTTTTGACCATACGGAGTCCCTGCTCCTGCAGTAAAATTGGTCGGGTCTCCTCAGTTCGGAATGGGAGAAAATTAGGTATTTCTTTTTCATTTAGGACACAATGTCGAACAAAAGTAATACCTGCGTGGCTCGCATAGGTATATGGGGAGAAAAACGGAGTTTCACGTGGTCTAACTACGTAGATTGAAGTTATAAATGTTTTTTTTACAAGGGCCCCCTCGTACGGGGCCTGGGGATCTATCTCCCACAGTCAGGTGACGGGGTGAATATTTTTGATCGTGAAATGGTGACGGTAGGGGAGAGTCTACGTGGGACTCAGGGTAAGGGGGCACTCGGAAAGATTTTATTATGTCATTTCTCTGTTTGGGTGGTCGTACGCATTACCTATATGATATGAAACACGTTCCATATGGACAACGACTAAATCTGCATACCGTGGAAGAAAAATAGGTTAAGTTCGTGACCAGTTTCATTTATGTTTCATTCGAGTATCGTCTTAGTGTGCTAGGGACCAATCACAACGGACTGAAATATTTACCACACCAGCGCAAGAAGTGCGACGGTCGCGATGATCGAACTAAGTTAAACATCAACGGCATGAGCGCTATTGACCAATAACGAGTCCAATTGCAGCGGGGGGAGGCTACATTCGCACTGCAACTTCGCCGACGCACCTTTGTCCTTCCGGGTAAGGGTTTGGCGGGGATGCTGGTATTGGGGGATGTGGGAGGGCAAACGAAAGTAAGTGGGCCTCCAGGCGGTATAAACTCCCGACAAGGTTTGGTTGCTACACCCTCGCCACCCGATAGTTCGGGAGTTTGTCGCTCAGGCGTGCACACGACTGAACTCTGGCCAGGATGGACTGGCTCAAGTGCGATGCACACAGGCAGTTCCTTTGTTCGACAAATTGTTCATCGGTGTTTGTGGTGGACTATTTGAGCTACATTGTGTGGGAGTACTCATTGGAGTATTCAAATTGAATCCTATTTATGCACAAATCAGGATCTTTTTCCCAGTTTA